TAACACTACAAGGATTCTGTATTTGTTGACATACAATTCTGACCAACTGACATAAATTCAAGAATATGCTACATACACCTCCCTCCATTAAATTTTTCTTTGAATTTCACATTCTAAATAACAATTTTAAGTTAATTTCTTGTTACCAGTTAGCTCAACGGTGATGACACAACTATTAAAGACAAATGTCTTCTCCATGTGATGGTCACAACTGGTGCCACAACACTGCTTAGTCTAATTGGCAAATACAATTCATTTTATTATATCTAATAAGTATTGGTCAACTATATTTTATTTATTTAACAAATAAAAAACCAGCTATGTTTATCTATATATGTGTGTGTGTGTGTATCAAAATCTTAACTGAAACCATTAAGAATATTTTAGCCTTTTAATGATAAATTTAACACCACATATCCTTCTATTAATAGAATATACATGTTTGAGGTCTTGAAATGGAGGGAATAAAAGGGTGGGTTTCAGTATGGGTAAAGGGGTGTGTGTAAATCACATGACATTGAATTATATACGTGCAAGGAAAAAGTTTCCTTGTGTAAGAGAGGGTAAAGGTGGGTTTGGTAGAGCGGGTGTATGTAATTCACTTGAAATTGAATTATACTTGTGCAAAAAAAACGTTTCCTCTAACGGAAAAGGGAAAGGGTGGGTTTTTCTAAGATTTGTATGTATGCATTAGTAGATGAATATGGTTAAGAAGTGGATTTTAAGTCTAACTCAATCTTATAAAATCTGCTTGTTAGTTGAGGTTAGCACTCACTTATATATTGTAAATTGGCTTTATCTTTAGTCGATGTGGAACTTCCAACACACACCCCTACGCTGAAGTATATAAATCTCGAGCGTGGGACTAGACATTAAGGGGTGGTATGATAAAAATCCGATAGTGGATATAATTATATGCTCAACAAACACAAATCTCTCTAGGATAGGCTAATTCATGGTTTTGATACCATATTAAGAAGTGAATTTTAAGCCTAACTCAACCCTACAAACCCTAACAAAACTGGCTTGTAAGGTGAGATTTGCACTCACTTATATACTATAAATTGACCTTATCTCTAATCGATGTGGGACATCCAACACATCTCCCTCACGCCGAGGTATATACATCTTGAGTGTAGGATTAGACATTAATGGATGATCTGATAGCGACTTGATAGCAGGTGGAATAATATGCTCAACAAACACCAAATCTTGCTAGGATACGCTCTAACCCAACTCTGATACCATTTTAAGAAGTGGATTTTAAGCCTAACTCAATCCACAAAATGAGTTTGTAAGGTGAGGTTTCCACCCACTTATAAACTATGAAATCGCCTTATCTCTAAACAATGTAGAACATCCAACCAATGTTGTCAAACTCGAGGATTGTAAGAGAATCAGGAAGGGAATGAAAACTTGTAACTCGAGGATCATAACTCGACTCGTAAGAGTTATAAGTAAATAAAAAATTATATTCATAAATTGGTTGTCCCATCTATGATCAATGATTTTCCAAAGAGGAGTATAGCTATGCAATACAAAAATAAATAAATTTATCTCCAAAAACAAAGTCTAATATTAGAGAATGAAATATTAGTGTAAGCAAATTAGCTATTGTTACCTCTTGCTAACTCCATTGAAAATACTTTCTATCTTCTCTATAGCAATATCCATTTCTTCATAGATAAATCCCAATCCCATGGCTGGTTTCTTATATGAATCCACCATGCACAACACCTTAATCAAAGGAAGAACACCCATCAGGCAATTCAACTATTTTTCCAAAATTCCTGATCCAATATCAAATTTTCCACAGACCCACCATCTCTAGTCTTTACCATTTGATTAGATTGTCACTCCTTTGATGTGAACATCCTAATTAGTGAGCCTTTATTCCCGTTCAAGCATCCCAAAGTCGAATAAGAAGTGGAAAAGTGAGTATGGGTAGGTCTTATCAAATTTGTCCCATTAGTAAATTTGTGCAACAAAGAAATAAGACTCGTTCTTGAATAGATGTAGGTTGTGATTTTCTTACCACTGGTTATTGTTGTATCATGATGAAGTGGAATTTTCTTCTCTAAATCTTCTAACATCAAATCAATGCAGTGGGATACAAAAGGTTTCTGTTCTTCACTTGGTCTTTTTCTAGCATATAATCACCCATACCACCATCCCCTTCAAATTCTTTGAATATTGATTTTTAATCAGATTTTTCTGCAACACAGAAACCACACCCAACATTAATATTTTTACATCTTTCAAAAATGCAATAGATGCTCCAACATCCTTTGAGTTCCTGCTAAATGATGCTTGAGTCAATAAATTCCACCCGTCAATAACTTTTCACAGTATTTACATTTTACATTTCTTGCTTTCCCATCAAAAGAAACACAATGACTCCATGCTGGTTCAGTCCTTACTCCAATTCCACTTCTTCCACTTGATGTCATTTGTTTCTTCTTCAAACTGAGAATAAAAAGAGGCGGCGTGGAGAGAAAAAAAACAGGGGTAGTACGGTAGCAAGTAAAACGAAAAAGTCACAGGGAAGAGTGGCGATGCAATGAGGACGATGACAAGCATCAGTGATGAGGCATTGGCGACAGGTGAAGCTTCGTGCATATTGTATGAGTTTCTGTTTGTAAGGTGCAAAATTGTTCTGTTTTTGAGGTGAAAAAAAGTTAACCTAACCTAAAAGAAAAGGAGGGAAAAAAGTTGGGTTTTGGATTGAACTGAGTCTGTTTTTTACTAAAACATGGAGCAGGTCTGCTTTAATAAAACATGGTGTCATCAAACCCTAATTCCATTTTTTCTCCTTTGAACCTATCTTCAACATCACCATGGAAGATCGACATGAAGCATGATCCTCTGATCTGGCGAAAGAACTCGAAAGATCGCTCCAATCCGGCAAACTTTTGATCTAGCATCCTATTTAGCTCGCATGGGCTGTGAAAACTCGCAGGTTTGTTCGAGTTTGTGATTAAGATCGCGAGATTTTGACAACATTCCTTCCAATTCATTTCCCTCATGTCGAGGTATATACATCTTGAGCATAGGACTTAGATATTAATGGGTGGCCCAATAACAGTTTGATAGCGGCTCGATACCGGATAGAATAATATGCCCAACAAATAACAAATTTCGTTAAGATAGGCTCTAACCCGGCTCTGATACCATGTTAAAAAGTGGATTTTAAGCCTAACTCAACTCTACAAAACCGGCTCATAAGGTGAGGTTTACACCAACTTATATACTATGAAATTGCCTTATTTCTAAATGATGTGAGATTTCCAACACACCCTCCTCACACCGAAGTATATACATCTCGAACGTTGGAATAGACATTAATGGATGACTCGATAGAGGCCTAATAGCGGGTGGAACAATATGCCTAACAAATAACAAATCTCACTATGATAGGCTCTAACCTAGCTTTGATACCATGTTAAGAAGTGAATTTTAAGTCTAACTCAACTCCACAAAATCAACTTATAAGATGAGGTTTACATCCACTTATTACTGTAAATTAGTCTAATCTCTAGTCGATATGAGACTTCCAACAAATTCAATAGACTATTCTTGTATTAAGAATACCTGTCTTTTGGTTATCTCTTGGGCCTTTTTCTCCTGCCAATCACGGTACATTGAGAAGAGCTCCAATAGAACCTTGGGATTCACTGTACCTATTTCAAACATGAAAAAGAGAGAAACTAAGCAATTGGCCACAACAAAACTACTAGTATTAAATGCAAATGCCATTATACAACAAAGTGATTTATGCTCTCAACTCTTGTTTGAGACCTATATGATAGGGGAACCTAAAGAAAAAGCTTTAACAGAAAAAGAGATTCCTTAAACTCTCAAATACATGCAGATGTAGACTTCACACATTAGTGCAGTAAGAATAATAAAAGAACCCTTGTTAATATTATAGGTCAATGGGTTGAGCATAACATGCCAATACCCAAACCCAAGACAAATCGGTAAACTAGAACACGGAAGTTTTATGTGGGTACAGATGTGGTGCCTAAGTGAATCATCATGACATTTGGGACAATTGATCAGGATGGCTGTTAGGGAATGCTTGCACAGGGACAGCAATGCGGGTTCTATAATAGATGCCACAGGGTATGGCCAGAGCATTAAGGGTTTTTCTAATTTCGGGAATTAGGATCTTGTTGCTGTAAACAGAAGGCTAATTCCTACAGTTATGATGCCTTCTTACAGTGGTAACCCACGGAAATCATTCTGTTGGAGGGGATTTCATCTTAATGCTACAAACAAAACCAATCAGAAACCTTTTGCCAATGTCGAAGACATTACCCATGTAATCCCTAACTAATTAATAGCTTGAATTAGGAGAAAAAGTTCATGAAAACTGCCAATATGCTAATCTACTTTTAAGAACAAATCAATTACAAGAGAAGCTATCCAGCATGTGTGTTGAAATCACAACCAATAAAAGCATAAGCTGGGGACCGGATAGAACTCTGCATTTTCATTTTTATGTAAAAATAGCCACACACAAAAAAATATTATATCGTAAACTAAAGATGGCTTGAGCCAGGCAGGGCAATGACATCTTAGTAATCACAGTCGGAAAAGAATATCTACCAAAAGGAGCAGGATTAGATGCATAAAATAGATTATTTAGGCCAATAACCCCTCTGTTCAATTCTATTGGGAGTATAAGAAACAAAAGAATCCTTATCCATTAAACCTTAGAGATCAGCACCTGAAAACGAAGACGATGAAGGCTTCCTCACCAAAATATCAGTTAAAGTACCCTCTGTTGGGGGAGAGGTCAATATCGGAGGTGTCTGCACCAAACCAATTAAGGGAATAATAACCAAATAAAACAATCAACAAAAAAGAAAAAACCTCACAACAAAGACTTGTTTCCTTATATCAAAGAAAATTACATACAATTTTGAGAGATTTAAGGCGCTCCAAAATAGGGTCAGAAGCTTCCGATCGCTCCGTTATGGTGGTGATTCTGTCATCAGGCGTCTATTGCAATAACAAATCAATAGTGTTCAGTGAACAAGGACACAGCTAACAGTTTTATTCATTTTGAACCAAAAAAGAAAAAAGAAAAAGAGGAATTGAAACCTGTCCGCTTGAGAGAGTAGATTCTGAAGCGCCCATGTATCGCAATGCGGTGCGGGATCGTAGCTCAAAAATTAATCTCTAAATCGAAACTCTCACTCGCGTAGCGAATTTGGGGAAGGGAAACAGTACTCTAACGAATTCGCGTTCAACGAACACGTTCAAAGACAACAACCACCTTTGATGGTATCGCACGTTACCGTAAGCTTAAGTTCTGAAGATAAAAGTAGAAAATTAAAAAGCTCTTCCACAAGGTAATGTTGTTCTATATTTAAAATTAAATAAAAAAGTTGATTCCTTCGTTAATTTTTTGTATTTAATTTTTTTTAAATTCCATTTTCATTCAACTTGCTACATAAATATAATAAACTTATTTTTAGAATTAATTTAAAATAAAATAAAAAGATAAGAAATTTGAAGAGTCTATTAAAAATGAACATGAGATATTAAAAGGATAACAAATTTAAAAAATATGTTAAATAAAATAATATTTTTGTATTCTTGGTTTTAAATATTTATTGATTTTATTGCTTAGTGTACATATAGACTATTCAAGTATTAATTAATTAATTAATTATTTAATTAAATTTTTTCTATAATTTATCACTTATCATATATCATAGTATTTTATATATATAATATTTACCTATTAATCTTTTATCTTATTTTGTTTTCACTTTATCTATCAAAGGTTTAAAAGTTTACAGATACACAAAAACACTAAATAAAATATACATATATTTACAATAATATATATTTTATATTTTCATATACAAAGCTTCTATTTTCTTTTGACTTTTAGGAAACAAATTATCTTCAAAATTGGGAAGACTAAGCTCAAATATAATGATATAATCTTGTTGGTAAGAAAAATTATTAAATTTTGTTAAGAATTTTACTTAACACCGATTATTAATTGTTGTTTTAAGCAAATATTTTCGAGATAACCTTCAGAATGATTTCTTTGTAATTATCCAAATTTCAGTTTAACGAAAATTTTCACCAACTAATCTAAAATAAATAAAAACCATAAAAATTAATGGAAATAAATGTATTTTTAATCTTTATATTTTAATTAATGTGAAATTAAAATTTAGCAGTAAATAGTGTATCTGAAGAGTTTTTTCATGGATTGTTATTTTGTGAGCAATGAACTTCTTTAGAAAAGGTAGTAATGTTGTTATTTGAGTTTGAGTTGAAAGTGTGTAGTGATCTTGAAAAGTCAAAATTGAAATTATGTATGAAAGAAGTAGGTAAGAGATAAAGAAGGCAAAGTGAGTCTACGGTTTTAAGCTATAGTGTCAACTTTGAAGTGATAAAGCGATATAGAACGTTGAAACTGATAAAGTGGGTTAGTGGATGAAAGAGTGAACTAAACTATGATTTTAAGTAGTAATGTCGATCTTGAGGTGAGAAAGTATTAACACTGAGTAAAAAAGAGGAGATTTAAGTTCTTGGTTTGGTAAGAATTGAATAGGTGTTATTCGAAGATTATGAAGACTGGGGCATGAAGTGAAGGTGGTAAGGAGAATTCATTAATATAGTTAAAGTACTATATCTAGTGGGTTTCTCAGAATGGTTGAGAAAATGGTAGTTTGGACAATCCTAGTTTAAGATGTATCATAAGATGGCTAAATACTAATCAAGCTAGTAATTTCAAGTCGAGAAGAATGCAAAGTTAAGTATGAGTACATGCTAGTGGGTCAACAAAGGAAATGGTCCAGGTTGACAAATTGAAGGAACGAAGATGGAGTGCTCAAAACTGGGTTTTGTCGCTGTAACAAATGAAATAGTTCTACCTTGGGAATGGTTGGAAACTATATTACTCAAGAGTAGAGATCAATAAAGCAATGTGAAGTCCTCAAAATGGGTATGTTTAAAGGGGATCAAGAGTGATTAACAATGGGGAGTAAAGCAAAAGTTGTAGTGATCAAGTCAGTTGTATGGTGCTTCTTAAAGGGATCAATAAAAAGTCAAGGGAGATCAGTCAATGGTTGATTTGAAGTCAAGGATAGCTTAAGTTTTAGAAGGATTTTACAATAGGCTTGTGGAAGATAAATGAGGGGTGTTTTCAGTTTGGCAGATGTAGTTTGGTTGGTAAAGTGGAAGAAGAATCCTCAAAAGTGGAGGTTTAGAAGTTGAGAATTTGTTTAAGAGCAGTGGCTAGACCAATTTACAATATTGAACACTGGAGCATTTTATCACAGATGCAAGGTTTTTCATGTCAGTAAAGTTATTGGGAAGTAATATCTTTGTCAAATAGGTGGTTTTGATAGAGAATGTGAAGAGAGTAGGTTGTTCCTTTTATATAATAAGTGAATTTTCGAGGACAAAAATTTTTCTTGTTGGGGAGAATGTAAAATCCAAAAAAATGTTATTTTAGAAATGATGATAGTTTAAAAATAGTGAGACTCAATTATTTTAATATTAAATGGTTTACTTATAAATAGTTTTGTTATAAACGAGTTTCATTATTTTAAAACGTATCATCTCTAGAAACCACTTTTCTAGAGTTCTCTACCATCTCTCTAAGAGTTCTTACCCCTGAATCATCTCTTTAACTATTATGAGATACCTAAATGATCACGACAGAGTAATCTACACTTTACCCAATCAATTTCTATCATAGAGCAAGTAAGTTTCAACTATTTTTTCTCTTTCGTTCCTAATATATTTTTAGAAGTTAAGTGTAGTTGCATGTGTAATCATGCTTCATCTAATCATTTTTTAGTAATCTAAAGTCCAAAGGACTCTATCCGCTTCCAATTTGGTTTTTCATAGGTTTGTCTAAAAATTTATTGCGTTTTAAGCAATCAGTGAGGTGTTGTTAGACTTGGGTTGTTCATTGTGAGGTAAGGGAAGCTAGTATTTTCTCTAAGTTATGTTTGTTGTATATGTTTAGTATTTTTATGTTCAATTTTATGATGAAATTGAAATTGTGAAAAATGGTTCTAATTTGTATTATGTTTATGTGATGACTTTGGAATGTATGATACTTGGATGATTGGTATTTGGTGATTATGAATTGATTATTGTTATCATGGTTGTAATCTGATGATGTTGGATAATTGGAATTGGATGTGATTCTAATAAGCAATAGGTGGTAAAAACACATAAGTGTGTAGTTGAAAATAGAGGTTTCAATGGGCAAATCTGTAAGATATGAATTGGTGTAAGAAAGCAATTTTTCCATGTCTGTTATGAGGTAAATTGAAGTTTGTTAGAAGAATGTTTTAAGTGGAAACTGATCTAGGATAAAGAAGAGTGGTCAATGGTTAGTGTTTGAATGGTTTTAAGTACAAAATGAGAGATTTGGGTAGTGAATTTTTGATGTAAAGGGTTAGGCTGAATTGGAGAGTTTAAGGTATGTGTTAGAGCCAAACAGGACTTGTCTAGGTCTTTAGTTTGCTGTAATTGGTGTAGGAAGTGGTAGATGTAAGTTTAGGAAGTCTATAAGGGATACTTTGGGTTTGGAGTGGTCATTTTGTGTTAGAGGTGTGTTTTTTGAGGTTTCTCAGTGCCTAAGGGGTTCTAGGAACCATTTAAACTTATATACAACGTCACCAAAGTCATAATAAAAGAGGTTTTTAATCTAGTGCAGCGCCCAGGGCCCCCAAGCGCTCTTCTGGCGCCTTCTTTCCAGTGGTCTAGCGTCCGAGCTCCTTTTACTCTATCAATCAACGACTTCGCGTGCAAACAAGACCGCACAAAAGGAGTTACACCTCGAATATAAACAACATTTATACACAGATCTATTTAATTTTTCTTTGAATACACACATTTAAAAGAATTAATTCTAGGCCATCATTGTGATTTCAGCCACTATTAACAAAACAAAGATTAACTTTCAAATGCTCAATTAGCAGAAGATACATGGTTAATAATTCTCATTCAACTCCATCTTTAAAGCCAAAACTAGAACAGCGAGTATTCCTCAGAAACTTTGGAAAAATAGCAAGGAGTTTTTGGTATGACCTATGGCTTCACAGAATCACAGCATGTCAATAACGTGTACAGCACATGCAAGCTGAGAGAACAACTATCTAAGCAATGAGATGATAAAATCCACAAGAATAGAATAGGCACATTTGTTAATACATTAGGAGATCATGCATGGTTAAATTAAAAGAGGAAAATGGAAGTAAGATAATAGATCTGAGAGAAGATGAAGAAGAAAAGCTAACCGCAAAAGAGAAGCGGTGGAATCGACAAAGGAAAGTGAGAAACGCCGAAAGACTCGGCCTCTGGCACAAGAGAGATGAATAATGCGGACCGGCCAAAAGGAGAAACACAACTGAACTTCCCTCCTTTTATAGCTGCATCAGATTCCTTCACGCGCTTCAACTGACTACTCTACCCACAGGCATATGAGTCTGAGGTGGATCAATATTTCGCCACTGTCCCTACAAAGATCTCAGAATCTATACAAATGAATTCCCTGCAGTTACTGTTTCAGCCACAGGAAATCTGAACCCTTCAATTTATATTTATGATAAAAATTTAATAAACATGTGAGATGAAAACTATACTGATCCTTGTCACCCTAATCTTATGTAATTATATTTAAAAAAGTGTTTGACACAATATTTTAACTCTTATAATATAATGGTTTTAGTTGTAAACTGACTTTTTTAAGAGTTACTATTATTTTAATTTTTTCTAATGAAACTCAATTACAAAAATAATAAGTGAAAAAGACGGTAAACTAAAAAATATTTTTTAAATTACTTTTATAATGTTAAATATAAGTAATTTTTATTTTTAATAATTTAGTATATTTTGTTGCATTTGTGTTCAAATTTTTAAATACTTATATTATAACACACATGCATCACATACTCATATACACATCCATTGTCACACGTATCCCCATATACTTGTTGGAATTAAGCCGAGTTTGGTAGTTAGTTGGTCAGGATAGTTATTGATTAAGTGTTCAGTTGCTTTTCATTTTATAAATATTGAACCTCTGTTCTTGTAAAGCATTCTTTTGAGAACAGTGTGAATAATACATTTTCTGTGCGTTTGAGTTTTTTACTCTTTCTTCATCTGTTCATTTCCTTGATCGTTTGGTGTAAAGGTCTTAAACTGATCGGTGCTGTTCGTGTTCTTGCTGGGTCGTTCGGTCATCTAAGTTGCAGTACGGTGTGTTCGTAGTGTTGGACTAGGGACGTTCGTTCTCCAGTCGCATACGACACTCATACCGTTCGGCTGTGACGCTCGGTGCAAACCCTTTGGTTTTCTTCCATTTCTAACAATACTTACATTGTGAATTTAGAAATATTAATAAACTTACTTTATTTTATTAATATTTTAAAATTGTTGTGAATGCATAAATATGACAATATTTATATCAGACCAAACACATTTTTATATGAAAGATATTATAAAAATGTGTTTAACTAATATAATAAATTCATTTAATAAATCATTATAGATAATTGTAGATTAAGTATTTTCTATTGTTGTTTGCATAAATTGTTGTATTATAACTGCATAAAACAATATAACTTAGCAAACCTAATTAAAGATATATTATAACATATTAACGAAAATATTAGTGTCATCATACCTATGTATACTCATTTTTTAAATTATAACGTCTGTATGCATGCGTACTCAGACACAAATACGACACTGCTCGTGTTTCCACTAATGTTTATAATACCAAATTATTAAAAGTAAAAGCTACTTATATTTAACATTATAAAAATAATTAAAAAATATATTTTAATTTATGATTTTCTTCACTTATTACTTATAATTGAGTTTTATTTAAAAAATTTAAAATAGTGATTATTCTTATAAAATCAGTTAACAATTATATTATAAAAAATAAAATATAAATATAAATTGTGTAAAAAAAAATGAAATAACCAAGGATAATATATGAACATTTTTTTTTATGTTTTATTATATATTTGGGTCTACTTCCTTACTTAATTTGTCATTTTCTCATGAAAATAAATTAAATTTAACATAGAAAATGTATACTTAAAATCTATTTTTTTTTCGTTTAAGTTCATTTAAATTAATTGTATTTATCAATTCCTTGACTGGATATTTACTTAATATTTGGAAGGGTAAAGGAAAATCTTGAAGTACTACTCCCAATGATAGCGCGTGGAAGCTATTTCGACTTCCATCGAGAGGACCCCCAAATCTCAAAAATGTGAAAACCCTAGACGTTTTATTTCCCTATCAGAAGCTTGGATCTGAATAATGGGAGTTTCACCGGCGATGAAGCTCCTCGAATCGAAGAAACGAACAGAAGTGCAGCCAGAGTCATATGAAAATCTCTTAGACTCCCTCGAATCGAAGAAACGAACAGAAGTGCAGCCGGAGTCATATGAAAATCTCTTAGACTCCGTTCCAACACACAAAAAAACTAGGGATTTACCCAACTTAACAGAATGCCATGCGTGTGAGTATGCTCCGGTAAGAACAGACTTCGAACCCTTTATAGCGAATGGCGTGTAGTTCTTCTATGCAAGAATTGTTTTTCTTCCGTTCAATCTTCCCAAATTTGTTCCTATTGTTTTTATGGAATGTCTCTTGAATCATATGGTTGCAATAAGTGTCAGCGTTCTGTTCACAAAAACTGTTTTTTGAAATATAAAAATGCTCCTCCATGGTCCTATTGCTTCTATGGACTCTGAATTTTCTGTCTGTGTGGATTGCTGGATTCCTAAACACTTGGAACTTTCAAGAAGAAGAAAAAGAAGAGTACTGGGTGGTGAAAATGGTAGTTCTAGGGATTTGCCCGATGGAAATTTGGAGAGGTCAATGGAGGATTTGGTTGAGGACGCAAAACGTGTGGTAGGGCTAGAGAGGGGGCAATGAAGAAAGCTTTGGTGGCGAAAAGGGCGGTTGAAATTGCAAACAATGCTTTGGGTCTAGTAGCAAGTAAGGAAAAGAGTGGTTTGGATCCGCCTCCTGAGAGGGATGCTTTTGAAGTTCTTGATTGCTCTGAATTGACTTTTGAGTTGCATCCACAGTTTAATTGTTTGCCTAGGATTTCAAAGAGTTGCTGCTTATTGAATACATGTTCCCTGGATATTCCTAAGATGTTTTCTTCTAGTGTTGATTCTTCGAGCAACACATCAAACTCAAGGAATGCCGATTATCGTGATAAGCATGAAGTGTCCTGTGACAATAAACTATTGACAGACACTTGTAAATCTTTATGCGAGCCTTTGATTTCTGTAGGATCTTTGGATAGTGGCTCTTCAACTGGTCTGAATCTTCTCTGTACGGGCAGAAGTGGCATGGAAACTGGTTCAAAAGTTGATGAGCCCACAGCTGAATCTGATGGTGAAGGGGTCGGGGAAGGGCTTCAGAAGGAAGGGGAGGGAAGTTGTTCTGACAGGATAATAAACATGAGTGAAGATACTGGCATGGAACTTGATCGTAAGCAAGCAGATTCTGCTTTGCATAGGGAAAAACCATGCAATGCACAACCAGATAGATATTTCTTGAAGTATAGTAGGAGAAATTGTAGTTTGAAATCAAACTGAGGTAGTAATTAACGATCCCACAATCTGTTAGAATGAGTTAGGATTTATTCTAACATTGGGGTTCTATGGCAGTCAGTCATTCAATGGTTGCTTGTGAAAGTGGATACTTTAGAAGCCATCATAGGAGGGAACATATATACAGTTTTTTCTCTTCTTGATTTGGTTAAAACCTAAAGAGCTCTTTGTTATCTTTTATGGCTGTTATCATTTTTAACATTGTATTTGCTCTTCTGCTTTCAGTTTGATCTATGAAAAATGAATGAAGTTTTTGTTTAACAACGTCAAAGTTGACTGGAAAAAGCAAGAATGATAAGATAAACATTACTAATTTCATTGATGACATATTGAAATGAAATGATAAGCTACACATTGCCTGGAAAGAGTACTGTTCACTGTTTTATTGGCATTTCAAGGAGACTATTCCATAGCACTGATTTATTTCTTAGTTTATTTTCTTGATTGTGTCCCTCTTACCTATCAAATCTCTTACTCGTCTTTTTGCTTGTTGTATTGCTTTGGAAATATTGCAGACTGTGTTCACTGTGATTACATTATCGGTGACCTTATATATAGAATGTTCAAGTAGGATTTTACATAGATAAGAATTCAACATGAATGCAATATTCTTAAAGTTATATCATTTTGCTCGGACAGCTTTACCATATTAAGAAAGATTGGTTATTCTAGGATCAAATATATTAAAATAATATGTTTTTATTTCTATACCAACTTTCATCATGTAAAATAAATTTTAGCCACCAAAACCCCTCCAATTACTATGAAACCCCTTTAATAAATGTGTATACATGAAATGATATGCGCCGATTGAATATACCTTGTAGTTATAATGAAAAAAATGTATCCATATACATGTTATAACTAATTATGTATAAATTACAATTATTTATAAATTTTATCATAAACTATCTCAGTTTCCATCACAAAAACAACCTGTTTTTTTGTGTTTTTATTTGTTTTTTGTATTTTCTTTTTATATCCATCTGCCTAACCTATCTATCCATGAATAGAAACAAAGATTAAGGGAATCTCAATGTTAAACAATTTGAGAAGATTGGATAAATTTAGGTTTATGATTTTCATTTTAGATATGTTCATTACTAATATTATAATTAGACACCTAACTTGCTTTAATAAATTATAAATAAAAAATATTTATTTCTATTTAGTTATTATTATCTTTTTAAAAATTAAAAACTTGTTAGATACATCAATAAAATATATAATAGAAGACTATCTCAGAAGAACTTTAAGAGAAATCATTGTAAAGGTACTATGACAAAATTAAAGACTAAAACTTAAGAAGAATAAAGATGTTGTAAGAAGCTTAGAATTCAAAGAAAATAAAGATCATAACTTGAAATACATTTACTAAATAGTTTTTTAAAGATATTTTGTAAAGTTTTATGTTTTGTATCCTCTGTTTTATTTTGTACAAGTTCTTTGATTTTATTTGTCTATATTATAGGAGAAATCAAATTCAGAAACTATTGATTTTTTTTATAGGATTGTATCAATGTATATCTTATATACATGCTTTTATGTTATGAAACAAATAATACCTAACCAATTTGAACTTAAGATGACAAGGTTTGACATGAGGAAAACTAAAAAAAAACAAAGAAGAAACAAAATACATATAAAAATAATTATTTAATATTTGTCATTACATCATAATAGTTTCATCTCAAAGGTCTTACAAACTATTACAAATAAGAAAACATATGAATATAGGATAATTAGCTCAATTCTTATTATGGCCTAAAAACTACTTAAATGGCACTGATAATATCATTCTTATCTAACATGTTACTATCTAACATGCTACTAGAAATATCAAACCATGCTTTATACATGAAACCTCTCTAAGCTTT